CTATAAGGTGTCCATAGTTATTTGCATGCGAAGAATGTAGGTATTTATATTGGGGGGCCGTTCAAATATAATCTTACGCCTGGGAGGGGGAGGGGGGGTGTGTCTTTGGCTCTTGTAAGAAAAGTGTAATTTGATGTTGTTGGGGGGGGGGGGGGGGGGGGGTTATGTGCTGTTCTGATTTTGATTTGTGGAACTTTGATTTTTCATGTTTTTACGCTCTATGTGGCTACAAATTATATTCTGGATGCTTAATTAAAACAGAACATATTTAAATTCTGGTGCTTTAGATGAAGTTACCTCTATCAACATTGTAGGCCTATTGCTGTTACGTCGTCACAGAGAGTTGAAAGCTGGAACATTAATGGCAACTTTTATCATTTTGTAGTTTAACAGCCTTTAGTACCCAGTTTTGATATAATGTACTTGTACCGGTAAAACACTTTTGATTTTCAACAACAGTTTCCATGTAGTGTGACCTTGAAACAGCATTGTGAGCCAGTTGCGCACACGTCACAATTTTTACAAGTCCAATAAATATTTGAAACATCATGTATATATCTCAGGTGTTAGTTGATGGATTTTGATCATTCTTTTTTTTTTATAGTTCTTGTTTCCCTGAGTTCTATATAATTAAAATTATAGTCTTGTTGGTAGGCTACTTGTGGTACCTATCTCTACGGATGGACAAGTCGTCATAGGGGGAGTGAAAAAAAAAAAAGAAGATAAGATCAACTCATCCGAAGTTCAAAGAAAAAAGGTTCTGGGACCCGAAAAAAAAGATGAAAGTAACCAAAGATTAACTCAACAAACAAGTTCAACACAAGTGGAGTTGGTTGTATTGTGTATTTTATAACATTACATGCCAAAATGGGAGTGAAAATTATACAATGACTTTGTAACTGGTGAGACAAAAATATATATTTGTATACATCCCCCACCCTCCCAATCTGAACTTTCTCTTTGTCGTCCGTACTCTTCAACATACTCCTGACTCTGTCCATCAACCCCCCCCCCCAAACTGACCTCAAAAACGTTGTTTCTCTCCCTCTATTTATGACACCAGAAAACTTCACCTGAAGTACCAACCAGCATCTGTGGTGTAGCCGTTAAGCACTTGGCAGTCACATGGCAAGAGACCTGAGATCGATTCCCAAGAGGGGAGAAAATATTTATCAGGTATCATCAGCCATCTCTTCAGCCTTTTCAGCTAGCTGGAATGTCGTATCCCTCTCAGTCCGGGATGGCCTTGACAGGCAGGGTCTGTTGCCCGCCCCCTAAATGATCTAAACTGTGTTGATGGGGGGTAAAAACACTTACATTGTAAGATACATTTTTAAAAAATAATCACCTGGAGTCGGGCGACAGGCCAACATTTACATCAAAATAGAAGAAATCAGAATACAGAGTAAAAAAGTAGCTTTGCTAACGTATTCTGCCACCATCGACACAATTAAGGTCATTAAGGAGGTAGGCTGCAGCATTCCTGCCTCAGAAAAAACTGAACTGAAAGAGAGAGAGAGAGAGAAACAGCATCCCAGCATATAGACGGAGATACTCCGTAGAATCACTTCCCGGCGGGGGAATCGAACCCATGCCTTCTTGCAACCATGCCTCAGCATTTCACCACATACAATTTATACATGACATGATAACAAGTAGCCTACAGATACTTCAATCTGACAAACCGACTCAAAACATCAATTTTCAAAAATGAAAAAGAGAATGGGAGGACTTGTTTTTCGCCCTCTACATTATTTTGAGCTCAGTTCTTAGTTTTGGTGAGATTTTTACTAGTTTTACGGCACTTTCAACATAATAAGGTCATATAAGTAAGGGGTGAAGATTAGAGGTGTTTCAAGAGAGTAACAAACACAAAAAAGGAGGAGCACAGATAAGGACCATAGATGTTTGATAGGAAAGAGGGAGCAAACCACACACCAGAGCACCCACCATCCACCCGCATTTATTTTGAGCTTCGACATGAGAGAGTGAGAGAGCTGTACAAACAATTGTAGAAACTTCCTGCAACAATGATAAGATAAAATCTGTCGCCGTTTTCATTTCTTGTGCAACAAAAGCACATCCATATATAGACATACCGTACTAATACTAACAAATTATGTATGTACACTTCATGAAATATGGTAGTTGGTAGCAGAAGCTTCCAATTCTTACAACATTTATACAATAAAAACTGTCGCAGTCTTCTTGTGTGAGAAAAATGTTATAAAAAATGGATAGACATCAACAAGTAAATGAGCAACAGTAAAAAGTTCTTACACAAAGATACAAGGAAAGAAATTGTAGAAATTATCGTCTTCTTGAACAAAAACATCATATTTATATATATATATATATATCCACAGACTTGACTAATAATGTACACTTGAAAAAATGTACAGTGGAAACCACATAACAGTCCCGGTAATAACAGGGACATTTTAAATCCCCGTTTTTTCCTACTCTTTGTCTCTATTAAAAGTTATCGGCAATAACAGGGCCTCATCGGAGCCCAACCGGTTATAGCAGGGACAAAGGCTCGTTAACAATGTGTAAAAAGTAAGAGATAGAAAGAGAGAGCCCTAAGCCAAGCTAAAAGCACGCGTAATAGCTGGATTAGTCCACAATTGCTTACTTCCCTTGCAGTTTTGATTTTTAACAGGGATCTGATATAACAGGACTTTTTCTCTGGTGCCACCTTCCCTGTTATTTCAGGTTTCCACTGTAGAAAGAGAGGCTTCCAGTTCTGACAAAGAAGCACATACAATGGAAAATGTTGCTCTTTTCTTAAAAGAAAACAACAAATGATTCCATAATATAATTAATAAGTTGCTCATTTCTGGAACAAAAAAGAAACAAATCGATTGGCTGCTGTTTTCTTGAACAAACAGAAACAATTCCATATATACAGACTTGAATGACAAATTATGCAGGCCCTACATGATTGGATAAAATCTAGAAGCTTCCAGTTCCGACAAATATACGATGAAAAATGTTGCTCTTTTCTGGAACGAAAACAACATACAGATATATTCCATTGGTTGCCGTTTTCTTGAACAAAGACAGCATATCCACGGATGTGATAAATTATTTACACTTGAAAAAATATAGAAACAGAAGCTTCTAATTCCGACAACTATACAACGAAAAATGTTGCTCTTTTCTTGAACAAAAACAACAAATCCATACGTCGACGTTTTCGGGAACAAAGACAGCATATATCCACATCCTATACATGACAAATTATGTACACTGAACAAATTATTGGAGTACTTGTGGTTAAATTTAAATCAGGCACTCATCAAAGTAAAGAAATTCAAGCAACTGGCATTTACACACCCGTTGGGCAGGCAAGCTTTATATGTTTTTTTTGTGTTTTTTTGGTCTTGTTTTGTCGAGGGATTTTTTTTTCTCAACACCTTTTACGCTTATTAACACATTACACCCTAACTCGCCCGGGAATTCCCTTACGCGCTCCACCCTAACTCGCCCGGGATCGCCCGGGAATTCCCTTACGCGCTCCACCCTGACTCGCCCGGAACCGCCCGCGCCGACCCAGCGTCTTTAGAAACGAAAGTCTCGCCTTGACGAGACTCTGGGGCCGGGATTTTGATTTGCATAGTATAGCAAAAAGTTTCTTCTTTCGTTTGATACCGAAACGAAATTTTTCGGGCTAGTAGTTTTAGTTTTAGTATTAGAGCTGATCGAAGTGCGATCGCGTTACCGACACTTCGAAAGTGCCTCGACTTGTTGAAAAGCGACACAATTGAGTTCGAAAACGGAAATAACAATGGATTTGAGCAAACACAAGCATGTGACAAATCAGATGGCTCAGATTTTGATGAAAACGTTGTAGGAAGAGTTTGGGGCGATTCCGATTGATCAGACGGAGAAATTATAGAATTTAGATCTAGGGCCCGACCGCGAGGCTGAGAGTGAGAGTGACGGGTCGGACACCCCGATTGAACTAAAGTGAGAACATTTCCAACAGTTTGTGCATACATAAAGTTATATTTTTCTGAAACTACATTCAGTTTTCTTTTTAACTTTTATTTTTTCAGGATTTTTGGAATTTGTTTAGTATTTTTAAAATGTGTTTTTTAAAGGCTAGTATTCAGGGGAGGTGGGTTCTTTCCCCTTGCTTAGGATCTAGGAATGGACTTCCCGTCCAGGCCCTTAGGGTGTAATGTGTTAAAAAATGTAAATATTTCTGTATGGATTTTACTGAACATGTTGATCAAAGGAATAAAAAACTGAAATTTGCAGTTTCTACGGACACTCAAGCTTTGGCAGTCACCAAACTCTGGCAGCCATTTTCTCGCTATTTTTACCTCCAACACTAGTCAACCCCCACCTCCTTCAATCGCGAATTGCTCGACTTCTTTACAAGATCGATGGGTATTTTTTCACCAAAGGCTAGGGCCAATGAACAAGCTTCATGATGATGCCCAGCAACTCCACATGCCCAAAAAAATGACGAGGGCCTGATTCCACTTCGCCCGAGATACATACCATACATAGATCAAGGTATAGAAGCTTCCAACAATCGCACAATCAAAAATGTTGCTGATTTCTTGAATAAAAACAACAAATCCATAGACCTGACAAATTATGTACACTGGACAAATAATGCAGAATTTTCCGACAGTTATACAATGAAAAATTTAAGTTTTAGTAAGCATTTTACGGCACTTTCAACACTAAAAGGTCCTACAAGTGCAGAAGATTAAATATATTACAAGGAGTAACATACACAAAAAAGGAGGAGGAGAGACATAGACAATAGACGTTTGATAGGAAGGAAGGAGCAAACCTGCCAACCACCCACAATTAAGACAGATGTAGGCTGCTTCCAGCAATTAGATTGTCACCATTTTTAAAAAAGGCTGATTGTTCTTCCAACTAAAACATAACAGACATACATAAGAAACACAAACAATAACGACCAAAACTTCCAACAATTAGATCGTCCATCACATCTCCCTCCACTCCCCCACTGATTTTTTGCCGCTAAAACACATATATCTATAACAAACGCATGCAATATATATATATAGACAAATGTACAAAATATTTCCAACAATTAGATCGTCGCAATACGGGGAAAAAAACAGTTGCCTTGTTCCCCTTGCATCATAAAAAGACAACAAACGCATCCCCGCTGCTCAACAGAGCGTAGATCACCAGTGGCCGCGTCGGTCGTCTCTGTAGCGCTTGTGGTCGCGATCACGATCCCGATCTCTCTCTCTGTAGCGGTCGCGATCGCGGTCACGGTCTCTGTCTCTGTGCCTGTCTCTGTCCCTGTCCCTGCGTGCCCACAGAAAAATGTTTAGCGAGAAGAAGAGTTTTACAGCACTTGCAACACAATTAGGTCATATATGTGCCGAAGATTAGAGGTGTTACGAGAGAGTAACAAACACAAAAAAAAAGAAGGAGGAGAGATTTAAAAAGGAAAATAAATGTTAATAGTAATAGGAAAGATGGAGCAAACCGTAACAGAGCACCCGCCAACAACCCACTCCACAATAAAAGAATTTAAAAAATCCGGAATCTTATATAACTACAATGAGCGTTTAAAAATTTTTTTTTTAAATAGTAGAGGGTTTTACGGCGCTCGCAACTGCATAAGGTCATATGAGCGCCAAGGGGTGGGTGTCAACAAAGAAGTCTTTACAGGGAATCAAAACTTCGACAGCTCACCTCTCTAGCTTCAACAGCACAATATCTGCCTTGACTATCAAGGCACCCCAGAAATAGCGGGTCACAAGAGTGTGACAAACATACGAAAGAAGTAGAGGAAAATGACAATAGTAAGGATCAGGAAAGAAAAAGCAGCAGTTCCCTGTTGGGAATGGCCTAAAGACACTACAGTCAGTGGCACCGCCCCAGGGGGTTACAATGAGCTTGTATTAGCCACAAAACGCAAAGGTTCGAAACTGACCTGCCACTCTACAAAATCTAAAAATCAGGATCCCAGGGCAAAACAATCGGGATCAACGACAAATCACCCGGCTGACTGCCAAGCAGACTTAACTCACTTGCGACTGGGCCCTTTCACCAGCCACAAGCGTTGAAGACTGGCGTTTTGGGGGGTATTTCAATAAATCACCACAACTCTCAGAATTACCCTATTGTAATCATTTTTTGACACAGTAAAGTAACATTCAAGCTTAATCTAATACAAAAAACTAAAGTTGTCTAAGTCTAATACTTTAATTTGTATGATTTTTAAAAAATTGGCATGAATTTGAATTTCGAAAAATTTCCAGAGACGTGACAAGTAGAATGAAATTCACTGCAACAACAAAAATAAAAGTTCAAAGTGTTCTGGTTTGACTTGTATACATGTGCGAGTGTTTGGTGAAAATATAAAAGCTGGTCTGTGCATTGATTCAGACCCATACACTGAATTACATGAGACAGATGTACGGCACGACGTTGTGATTTCGTTGCGCGAAAAACAACACCGGTACTAGTGCTAGATCTAGCCCTAGAACTACGACTCGGGCCGTGTTCGGGTACATATCCAGGATCCTAACTATTAGACACATCATATTCTGAGACACTAGAACTAGTAAAACGTACAGAAGTATAGAAAACGGCGAAATTATGTGATTCTTGTTCATGCGACTTCTTCGACCGTTACTACGACGCGACTGTCGGATTACTATGAGCTGTATAGAAAAAAACAAAGCGCGAGTTCCGGTCTGTTCAACCCCAGTTGGGGTCACTGTCCTTCACCTTCAATAACTTAAAAACTACCGGCCCCAGAGATACGAAACGAAATCTAAGTAGCTCAGGCTTGGCCAAACAAGGGTACGAGGCGGGTCTCGCGATCCGTGCGTGATTTGTAGAGCGAAAAAAAAATTCCAAAGTTGGTCACGCAGGGCTTGTGTGAGACCCGACGCGAGCGTCATGGCGGGGGTCACGCAACTGTTGTGTGACCCGCCTGAAGTGAGTTAAAATTTTTCCAGGGGTGTCCAAAAATACATCCATGTGTATACATGTATACGCCTCTGTGTGTGTGTGCGTGTGTGTAGTGTGTGTGTGTGTGTGTGTGTGTGTGTGTGTGTGTGTGTGTGTGTGTGTGTGTGTTATTGTGCGCTTTATAATTATTTTTGTTTCTCGAGAAGTACAGTCCGTGCCGGCTTTTTAAGCACGCCGACTTAAAGCACGTTTCGGACTCAAGCACGCTAAACGGCTCTTACCTAATTTTTGCTATATAAAATACACGCCTTTAAGCACGGTAACTTCGGCTTTAAACACGTTTACTTAAGCTTTCTCCCGACGACCGTGCTTAAAGCCGGCACGGACTGTATCCCATCAAACTTATGGCAGGAGCCCAACACTACACAAAGGAAAAAACTACCAACAGCTACATAGAAGTAAACCAACGGGCACATCATCATCTTGCCAATGGCAGACAATAAAACACTCACCTGCTGTCATAGTAACGATCTCTGTGCCGATCACGATCACGATCCCGGTCTCTGTCGCGGTCCCGGTCTCTCTCACGATCTCTGTCGCGGTCCCTGTGTCGGTCGCGGTCCCTCGATCGGGACCTCCCCTCCCTGTAGCGGTCGCGGTCTCTGGAGCGCGACCGCCGGTCCCTGTACCTCTCTCTCTCCCGGTCTCTCTCCTTCTCTCGTTCCCGCGAGCGATCCCGACCTCTTGACCTGTCCTGGCCTCCGTCCTGAGAGCCTGACCACAGTCCACCACCACTTCCACCACCATCACCGCTTCGACCTGGTTCAGCGTCCGACGACACAGAGGCCCCGCTGACAGACACAGACGCACTTCCTCGCCGCCCGTCACTCTCTGATCCCGTTGCACCCGTCGTTGGTACAGTCGTCAAACCCACACCCCCCGCATCGCTCAACGCGACCACCGCACTCGGCTCCAACGACTGCGACGTGCTCCTCGACGCCGGCGACTCATCCTGACTTTCACCTTGTGGGTGCGAACCCCCCGGCGACAACGATGACGCAGCACCTTTGACCTCCTCGGCTGAACCACAGTTCCCCGCAGCTCCAACTGTTCCGTCGTTATCTTTAGCCTCATCATCATTATCATCGATTCTATCTCCGATATCTTTTCTCGTCACTGCGCCCACCCCGCTCACTCGACCACCACTTTCGCCACTCGCCTCCCGACAAGCGACATCGACATCTTCCACCCTCTCTGTCTCCTCGCTCCTCACCTGACCCTCCTCCCCCTCCATCTTTCTATCCCTGGTTTGTTCATTCCCTGTCTCCATCTCTCCATCCATTGTTTCTTTATTCACCGTCTCCTTCTCTCCATCCATTGTCTCTTCATTCACCGTCTCCTTCTCTCCATCCAATGTCTCATTATTCACCGTTTCCTTCTCTCCATCCATGCTCTCTGTATTCACGTCCTTCTCTCTATCCCCCTCCTCCTCCTCCTCAGCCATCTCACAATCTTCCTCCCCTTCCCCCTCTCTCTTCGACCTCCCTGCTTCCTGTGTCCCAACGACCGACTCCACCCTGCTGTCATCATCACTCCCTTCTCTCAATACCTCCGCAGACACCTCTTTCCCGTCTTTTCCTTCTTCCTCCCCTTCTCTTTCGCCCTCCTCATCTTTTCTTTCCTCCTCCTCCTCTCTGCCTCCCTCCTCACCCTCCGACAAAGCATCAGCCAGTTCCCTCCCCACCACCCTCCCACCAACAACCATTGCCTCCTCTTTCCGTCCATCCCCCACCTTCCTCGCATCTTCCTCATCGCCTCCCTCCCTCTCAATTTCCTCCTCCCCCTCCCCCACCTCTTGCGCTGCGACATGTCTCTCCACGTCACCACCAACACCTTCCATCACCGACGACAACAACGACAGCTCACCCTGTCCTTCACCTTCACCAACACCGACCTGCAACACGTTTTCTTCACCGTCATGCGCCGAAAACTCTCCACTGTCTCCCTCGCTTTTTCCAACTCCTTCATCATCTCTCTCCCTGCCCTCAGCAACAACATCTTCGCTCACATTTCTTCCTACACCAACATCAGCAACATCCACAACTTCAGCATCACCCGATGAGGAAGCAGCGACCGGTACATCAGTCAACACATCAGCAACATCAGCCACTGTCTCCTTCTCTCTATCCCCGACCTCTTCATCCACTCCCTCCTTCTTTTTATCCCTGGTCTCTTCAACGACTGTCTCCTTCTCCCCATCGCCAGTCTCTTCTTTCACTTCTTCCTTCTCTCTATCCCCCGCCTCTTCCTCCTCGTCTGAATCGGAGCCGTAACCACTCACTAAGGACTTCATCAAACCAGCGCCCGTCTCACCTTTCACGCACACATCACTCCCAGCTCCAACGCCCTGACCCTCATCAGTAGATGACCCTTGACCTTCCTCAGTAGACAACATTTGACCTTCCTGACCCGAGGACGACCCTGACCCCTGACCTCCCTCCCCACTGCCCACCCCTGACTGCTCCACAGACGTCTCACCACCACCACCAGACCCAAGCTCCGTTAGACGACCGGCAGAAACCGACGATTCGTCACACCTTTCTTCCTCCATCTCCTCTTCCCTCCTTTCTTTCGTTTCTCCTCCCTCTCCAGCAGTCTCAACCCCTCCTCTTTCATTCTTTCCATCTTCTCCGAAACCTCCTCCCTGAACTCCCGTCGTCTGCCTCTCTCCCAGCCCGTCCTTCGCGGGTCTTTCCTCCTCATCCGTATCCGTGTCCATCATTTGCTCCTTCCTCGCAATCTCCTCCGAAGTCTCATCGCCAACAACAACACCACGCGCGCCACCGACCTCCTCACCTTCCATTTCCATAACGACACCGCTCTCTGACCTTGACATTTCCCCTCCTCTCGACACCGTAGCACTTTCCACTTCACCCGCAACACTCGGCTTCTTCCTCCCACCTTCTTCTTCTTCTACTTCTCCACTCCTCGCCGTCTCATCTTTTCCCTCCTTCTCTCCGTCATCCTCCCCTTTCCTCTCCTCCTCTTTGCAAACAGACAACGAATCTTCCTGACCTTTATTCCTCCGCAGACGTTCTTCTTCCCCTCTAGAAACATCCTCGTCCTTCCTGTCTTTATCCGAAGCAGCAGAACCCTCCTCACTCCTCCCTTCCCTCTCCTCCAATGTCTCTCCACTTCCTTTATCCTTCCCTAATTTCTCACCATCCTCGGATCCGCCGTCTTTCCTCGTTTCTCCACCTCCTCCTCCTCTTCCCTCTGTGTATCCCTCCTCTTCCTCCACACCTTTCCTCTCCTTTGGTTGAGACAAAGACGACGGCTGATCATCGTCCCTCATCTCCTCTCCGCTCTGCGCCATCTCTGCACTCTCACTTCTTTCAGTCACGTCCATTTCTGCTTCTCTCGTGGCCTGTGACGATTCCTCACTTGCGGCCTGCGACGAACCCTCTCTTGCATCCTGCGACGAACCATCACTCACGGCCTGCGACGAACCCTCTCTTGCATCCTGCGACGAACCATCACTCAAGGCCTGCGACGAACCCTCTCTTGCATCCTGCGACGAACCATCACTCACGGCCTGCGACGAACCCTCTCTTGCATCCTGCGACGAACCATCACTCACGGCCTGCGACGAACCCTCTCTTGCATCCTGCGATGAACTATCACTCCTTGTTTCAGACGTCTGCTCATCAGACCCTGTGATAACGTAACAATTATACAACTGTATAACGTATAAAAAAGGGAGAATAAAATGGAAGAGGGAGGGATGGAGGGGAGGGTGAGGGGGAAGGGTGAGGGGGGAGGGAGGAGAGACGGGGAGGGTGAGAGGGATATACTTAACTCACTTGAGCCTGAGCTTTAATTTTTCACCCAACAACCATTACAGCCAGACAGTCTTGGGGTATATTGAATCATTGACCACAAAAAAAGACAGTGAAAGCTTTAATTTTTCACCCAACAACCATTACAGCCAGACAGTCTTGGGGTATATTGAATCATTGACCACAAAAAAAGACAGTGAAAGCTATCATGATTTTTTTTTTTTTATGTAACAAAAGAAAGATAGAAATACTCTCAGAGAAAAAGAAAACTGCATCCAATTTGTCCAAATAGTTTTTATTTTATCAACATTTTGAAATGGCAATGTCTGGGCGCAAACCACACCAGAGCACCCGCCAACCACCCACAAATCAAATAAAGGTGGCCTGAATTGGGTCAACGAGAGCATAAAAAAACATATACATGATTTAAAAAACAAAAACAAAAAACAAAACCCCAACCCTGAAGTGATCTCCCTTACCTTCTGACTTCACCCCAGCCACAACTCCTCCACCTTTCTCCGACTCGCCTCGCGGTGAGCTGGGGGGTTCCAAGGCACTCAAAGTTCGAATCTCCTCTGGAGTACTGAGATCCTTCTCCTCCTGGCAGGGGGATACACAAAGAACAGATAGTTCTTTTTAAAAAAAACCCAAAAAAAGCTGAGTTTGAGTCTGGGTAAACAACGGCACATCCACACAACAATGGTCATATGTGAGGCAAGGAGGAGAAATTAAGCAATCGTCAAAATATAATGAAACCGAAGATATCCGCATTTTTCTGATTTTGAAAAGTTTTTATTGAATTTCTGTTTTTTGACTCAGCCCCTAATGTGTCTTCTTAAAAAACACATTTAATTTGTGTGAATTGTACTGAAAAACGTTAATTAAAAGAACAAAAAAATTAATTATCAGTTTTCAAGCACTCTCAAGCTATGGAAGTCAGCAAACTTTGGAGGCCATTTTCTCGCTAATTTTACATCTAAAACCATGCGACCCCTACTCCCTTCAAATGCAAATATCTCTGTTTCTATTTGGGTACTTTTTCATTGAAAGATAGATGAATAAACAAGCTTTAAGATTATACCAAAAATTCAACATGCCCAAAAATTGTCAGGCGTCTGACTCCACGGTGTTGTGACACACATACTGCTGTGACATCGGTGGCCAAGAAGTAAGTACCAAAATGCTCAGTGGATACAGGCCTTTCAAATGGAACAGATAAATTTGGCATACAGCTAGTTTGAAAATTTAGTTTCTGGTACCTAACTTTACACAAATTTCCTTAACTCACTTGCGACTGGGCCCTTTCACCAGTCACAAGCGTTGAAGACTGGCGTTTTTGGGGGGGTATTTCAATAAATCACCACAACTCTCAGAATTACCCTATTGTAATCATTTTTTGACACAGTAAAGTAACATTCAAGCTTAATCTAATACAAATAACTAAAGTTGTCTAAGTCTAATACTTTAATTTGTATGATTTTTTAAAAATTGGCATGAATTTGATTTTCCGAAAAATTTCCAGAGACGTGACAAGTAGAATGAAATTCACTGCAACAACAAAAATAAAAGTTCAAAGTGTTCTGGTTTGACTTGTATACATGTGCGAGTGTTTGGTGAAAATATAAAAGCTGGTCTGTGCATTGATTCAGACCCATACACTGAATTACATGAGACAGATGTACGGCACGACGTTGTGATTTCGTTGCGCGAAAAACAACACCGGTACTAGTGCTAGATCTAGCCCTAGAACTACGACTCGGGCCATGTTCGGGCACACATCCAGGATCCTAACTATAAGACATATCATATTCTGAGACACTAGAACTAGTAAAACGCACAGAAGTATCGAAAACGGCGAAATTATGTTATTCTTGTTCATGCGACTTCTCCGACCGTTACTACGACGCGACTGTCGGATTACTATCAGCTGTATAGAAAAAAACAAAGCGCGAGTTCCGGTCTGTTCAACCCCAGTTGGGGTCACTGTCCTTCACCTTCAATAACTTAAAAACTACCGGCCCCAGAGATACGAAACGAAGTCTAAATAGCTCAGGCTTGGCCAAACAAGGGTACGAGGCTGGTCTCGCGATCCGTGCGTGATTTGTAGAGCGAAAAAAAATTTTCAAAGTTGGCCACGCAGGGCTTGTGAGACCCGTCGCGAGCATCGCGGCGGGTGTCACGCTACTGTTGTGTGACCCGTCTGAAGTGAGTTAACTTCACCCTAATAAGTACCCAGCTATAAACAGCAAAAGATCTTGTCAGTTTCAGTTTGTTAATGTCTGAGCGCATATTCAGCTGCTTGCACTGTATGCTTCCCAAGAAGCTGAGAATGTTTCTGAGCGTTTTAAGCCTTGCTAGGGTAATCATACAGCTTGCTGTCGAGAGAAGATATGCAGTTCACAAATGTTTATTTTTATAATACTGCAGAGAAGAAGCCAAACAGATAACCAGAAACAACAGCAAGAAAGAAAAGGAACTGGAATTAGACCTACAAATACAAAAGGCACTCCCCCCCTCCCAATCAACCCAAGTTCTAAACAAAAGAACAAAAAATGAAAGAGATTAGAAATATGAACGAACGTATAATAAAAAGAAGAATGGCTTATCACAATTTTTCTCATTTCGAAAACAAATGGGAAATTTATTTCTTTTAGTTTTAATAAGGTTTTTACAGCGTTCGCAACTGCATAAGGTCATATCAGCACCAAAGGGTGGATGTCAACAGAGAAGTCCAAACGGGGAAGACGATAGTAAGGATGAGGAAAGAAAAAGCAGCAGTTCCCCCTACGTTGTTCCAGCACACTTTAAGTATGACATTGATAAATCAGCCCATTTACAATTCTACAGTGCATAAGAACATGTTAATATCCCCCCTTCGGGAATGGCCTAAAGAGAACTTCAGTCAGTTGAACTGCCCTGGGGGGATAGACGTTTGACAGGAAAGACGGAAGAGAGATGAGGACGACAGATGTATGATAGGAAAGAAGGAGAGATAAGGACAATAGATGTATGATAGGAAAGGACGAGAGATAAGGACGATAGACATTTGATAGAAAAGAAAGAAGAGAGACAAAGACGATAGACATTTGATAGGAAAGAAGGAAGAGAGACAATGACAATAGATGTTGAACAGGGGGGAAGTAGCAACCCACGCCAGAGCAACCGCCAACCACCCACATGGTCCCACAAGGTTGAAGAAAACAACCCCTTGAGTCGACAATACCTTAAGGATGTTTTTGAAGGATTTCTTCATGGAGTCCCGCAGCAGCGACGGACGTCGGGGAGGTAACTCTGTCAGTTTCACGTCTGGCATTTCAACCGGAGGCGGTGGGGAGGACTCGCGTCTGGAGACTTCTGCGTTAGACGATTGGAGGATAATGTGAATGAATGATATCAAATAATAACAACACCAACAACTACACCAACAACAACAACACCAACAACAACAACAACAACCTGACAGACACTCACTGGAGGCTGACAACACCACCACCAACAACAACAACAACAACACCATCACCACCACAACCACAACAACAACACCACCAACAACAAACAACACCACCACCACCACCACCAACAACAACACCACAACAACAATCACACCACCACCACCAGCAACCAGACAGACACTCACTGGAAGCAGACAGAGCGTCCTTCTTGACCAGTCCCAGAACGTCCAGTAACGAGGCGTCCGGCTTCCTCCTGGGATCTTTCAGCTCTTGACCTAACACCGTGCCTGGGGGAGTGGGGG